TGTCCCTGGGATCTTTTCCATCGGATTTCCGAATAACTTTGCTTTTATTGAGAGTGTTTGAGAAAAAAGTGCTGAAGAGAAAATTTGGGCCTATGAAAGAGGAAGTAACAGGGGGCGGCAGAAGATTTCATGACGAGAAATCTCATAGAACGTACCTACACTTCGTTACACGTGGAAATAAAATAGGATGACGCGTAAGGAGATAAAAATACACACAAAAGTGTAGTTAGTTCGACAAATTCAAGGGAAGAAACAATTTTTCCACATATTAGAATAATATTAAAATAGATTTTAAATAAATTGTGTATTTGATTATGAACTGGAGATACGTAACTAGGAATGGAATACAGTAGCAGACTGTTTTTTAATGAAACTTCAGTTTTCTTAATAGCGGACAGTTTCTTGGCCAATTAATTAGCTATCCGTCATTAAAAAAGTAGGCCGAGCACCATATATTTGCTTCGTTATTTACTTAGTTAGTTTCTTTGTTTCACTAACAGACATTCACTTCTGTTACAGACTGGCAAAGACCGTCTGCGACGCTGTCATAGTTACTTCCACAGCAAGAGACATGGGACAAGACGCCCTCACGTTCAAGAAGCCGGTACTGAAATACTTCCCTAATGTAACGTCAGGAACAACGTCAGTTCCGATGGCCGATCGCTGGCCGCAGAAACACCGGAAGCAGGAACTCTGGGCGCAACAACTGAGCGGCTCGGCTCACGTCGTCAACAAAAGGTTGTTTCCCCTGACTGCGGGCAACGACGTAGTAAGCCGGAACATAACCATGGTGCTGGAAAACCTGCTGAAAAACTACGAGAGCAGTCAACTGCCAACCCATGGCAAAGGTAACACACGCCGTTCGTGTTTTCTTCTTCTTCTTCTCCTCCACGATCATCAATGCACTCACGTTGAACAGTGCTCAGACTTGATAGTCTCGTACTGAAGACGAACTCCAAACGCCAGATAAAAGATCTTTACCACTTCATGGTTAATAAGCGAGAAAACGTGAATAAGAGTACTTCAATGCAGAACATTTTCCAGAAGGTTTCTTTGCTATTTTAAGTGACTCATTCGTCTTTATGTTCGTTTATTGCAGATATAAATGTATCGTTGCAAAGCTAATAACACTACAGATAACACAGTGCAGAAAGTCAGATTGTGTTCTGCACCACCATGTAGTTTCATGAAGATCTGAGTTAAAATTGATGTAATGTAGGGTTTATATTGGACCTAAAAAAAATAAAAATGACGACTGTCATTCATAATTCAGATCTTTCACACCAAATAATATTACGATCATTAGTGAAGAAGGGTGAAATATGCGCGACATAGCGTAGTATAAAATTATTACAATATTTTAGTCAGAAATCTGAAGTAAAATGACAACTTGGAAGATCTAAACGAAGATGGGATGATAGTACGACCTCAAAACATGGCTTAATACTCAGAGTCTAAATCGCCACTACCAAAAATCAGACGAAAAATGTTTTAATTGAACTGCGTTATTATAGATCACAGAATCTGTCAATTTCCTCCAACTGTTTTGTCAAAAAATAGTTGCGTCATATTGTGAAATTTAATTAATTATTCGGTTTTTGTCCGTCTAATCACAATTCATATTTAAATTTACAATTAAGATAATTAAAATATCATTTTATGTTCCTCATCGAACAATCGATTTACAATTGGAACACCTTTTTACAACATGTTTCGGTTTCTATATAAACCATCTTCAGGTGTAAAAGTTAAAATTATAAACTTAAAACTTAATTACATATTGCATATCAGAAATTGTAATTAAGTTTTAAGTTTATAATTTTAACTTTTACACCTGAAGATGGTTTATATAGAAACCGAAACATGTTGTAAAAAGATGTTCCAATTGTTTTGTCAAAAAATTTTCATAAAGGTTCATCCTTGGAAAACAAAAAGAGCCTAGTACCCACCCAACCAAGCCTTAATATTTTACTCGCTTTGAATATGCTCGCTTCTTTAATAACAAATTTGAAATCGGAGGCAAAGTCTTTCAGGGCCTTTCGCCTCAGTACCGAAAAGAAAAACCAAGAATTAAAAGGAAACAAGAAGCCATATTACACAGACTTCCACAATCGCTAGAGAAGTTAGCTTTTAGAAAGTTACGTTTCCATAAATGTGAGTATTCGCTAGTTAGTTCGTATTAATTAACAATTCTCTTTTCATCAGGATAGAGCCATTAATATCGAACTTACAGGTGGTAACGCATGAAATGTTAAAAGGATTAAGCATTCAACAGAAGCAATTGGAAAACAACTGAAAGCTTCGAACCGAACAGGCCGAGTGATTGAAATGAGGGCACATTAAATGGCGTTCTTGTGTTGCGCTGAGAGCTGGTGACACAAAACTTCATTGTGCTGAATTATTTTATGAACTATATAAGCAGCCTGCGATTGAAAGAAACGAACCATTTTTTAAAATATTAGAAATAATGTTCCCTTCCATATGACCTGGTATAAATATAGCAGTGATAGTTTACAAAATGGACCTCTGTTTAAGACTCTTTTATGTATGCCTTCGAAGAAGAAATTTAATATCGTGTATTCTGTTAGAATGGTCATGATGTTCTGTCTATTCATCCACCATTTGACAGCGTCCAAATTATTTCATCGATTTTGATTATTATATATATCTACACCAAATTTGGTGGAGATTTTTAATTTTAATTTAGTTTGAAGATGGCTGTCTTCTGGGTTGTTGAGCCGTGTAGTCTGGTAGAAGTTTATAGACGTTTCAGAGGTCCGTAAACTTCTACCAGACTATACGGCGCAACAACCCAGAAGACAGCAATCTTCAGATTTACTGCAGTGAAAACCTCAAATCCTACTTAATTTAGTTTAATTTATTATAAGAGTCACTTTACTTACTTACAAGTGTGTGTAATGGGAATTTTGACAGGGTGTTATAAAATATTATTAACGACACTTATGTCGTATGAGTCTTGCCATGCGTAACATTACTTTTTTGAGAACCATATTACTTAAAACATTTAGAGTGATTAAATCTGAATGGATGATAAAAGCAGAGAATGTGCCACGTATGGCAGAAATTCGTACAAAATTATGCTCGGAGCCACTTTTGAGACAGAGGCGTGATTTGATGATAACTTTAAAATGGAACATAGAAATACAATATGTGAAGGAGTAGAGTTGATTCCACTGGTTAAAGACAGGGCCAAATGACGAGCCTTTGGGAAAACAATAATGAAGCTGAAGGTTCCATGACAACAGGGAATTCTTTGAGAAGGACTTTATACCATGGAGCTGGTATAGTAAACCTACGTTGGTTTGTAAGTCTCTATCAATTTTGTAAACGTTCATGAAGTTTTAAAAACTTCATTATTCGTGTTTCCTTATGTATTTGGATCTTGAATCGAGAATCTTTCTATACCAGCATGTGACAGTAGTTTGTTCTGAAGCTATGTTTCGGTCTCCATTTGAAACGTGTTCTAGATTTTCAGCAAATTTCGTAAAGGTATTATGTTAGAAATATATCACAGAGCAGGTTAAAAATGAATTTATTTTTCAATGCATATATTAATAAGAAATTTCATTGAAGACTGTAATTGAAAAATATACAATAATTCTCGCCCAATATTATTCTGTAGTTTTTATTATCTAAAGCGAAGAGTTTTCTGAGTTCAAATAGATTTTGAAACTTAAGTTAGTAAAAGGTTTCCTTTTATCATGCAAATGTAACATCAAAGGATCATCTTGTTTGGAGACTGTCATGCAAGCAGTAGAAATTTGTTCATAAAAAGCTGATAGAAGTAGATCTATAGCCATATGTACCGCGTTCAAATCTCGGTCAGGAGGTAGCAGTATCTGTTTGTTTTTTCGTGGAGATTCTCCAGGCAAACACCGGGGTAGCGTAATTAATTTAGGTGACATCCTTTCCAATTCATTCTTGGCTGTCATCCTCTCATTTCACACCACACAGTCTGAGCTACTGAGAGTGTCGTTAAATAACCTATAAATAAAAATTATACATATATAACCGAATACGTGACGGGCTGTAATCAAAGCTGTCTATTTTTCAGTGTCCCATGCCCATGCTAAGGACAGAGAAATATTTGCTTTCCAAATTGGATGTGTAATTTAATTATCTTCAATCAATACTTAAAATTCAGTTTCAGTTTTGAATTGGAACGCGATAATAAATGTTCCATCACAGCTTACTGGTACTGTTATGTTACAAATCGGGCACATCCTCTTCTGTACTGGGGGTTGTCAAAAGTTGGGTCTATTTCTGGCCCACTTTGTGTCAACCGTTCTCTGGGTCGCAGTTACGGAACGTAACACTGAGATCTGAATGTCTCCACGGTGACGTAATGTTAATTGTGCTCGCCTGTATCATGACACGGAATAATACAATGGACGGTTGCCAATTTCCCAGAGGGACGTTTTACCTCTGCCATCAGGTTAGAAGTGAAATACCCTGAAACGTTGGTTCATTGCAATAACTCAGAAGACATCAGTCTTCAATGGTACGTTTACTGTGGAGTTGGTTCACGGACCTTGATATTTGTTTGTTACCTTATCATCTTATTTTGTAAGTGAGAAGTTGAATGGTATTAACATGAACGTGTGTGTTTGTTCACCAAACCTATTGATTTTTTAGTTGACAATTTTCTATTAGCCTTGACATGGACGTTACTGGAAGAGGACACCCGAATTTGTAACTGTTTAATATGACACCATAAAAATGCCAAATGATGACCAGCGAACGTCTTGGTGGGAAAGATACTAGCTTCGATTAATGTAGGGGCCTGAAATTTTGTGTGATAATAAGTTTTCAATGAATATTTACTTTGTCTCGGGTTCGATTCCCGGCGGTGCCCGAATTTATAACTTGTGTTGGGCAAGGCCGTGGTCTCGGCAACACGGAGTTTTCCTCCGGGGGCTTCCCCGGTTTCTCCGTGGCATCCCAACAATTACTCCATTCACACACAGAAGAAGGCAATGGCAAACCACTTCTGGATCATCTGCCAAGAACGTATATGAACAGGTCCCAGTCCGAGAAAAGGATGGAAGGATCCTGTTCATATGGACCTGTCGTCAGACAGAACACTAAATAAATAAAATAAGACAGCGATATGACATTGTCAGATATCTGTATTTAACTTCTGATTTGTTGGTATAACAAACGAATGATTGAAGTTAAGCATATAAAACTTCATACAGAAATTAATGTCTCTATAAATTATACGTGAAATATGTTAAATGTTGCCAGTTTGTACATGGCGAGTTCAACCTGACAAATTTAACGTTGTGGGAATCTGTATTGGCGTAAATTATGAACAGAAGCAAATATTATTCAACTGAATAGTTAGGTTAATATTAAGTAGTTGCTGCTGTCCACACTAGAGTGACATGTGTTACGTAATTTCTTCCTGACACTTATTTCCCCACGGCTAGCTTGTTCTAATATTGCGCCACTCTTCGCCATATTGCTGCAATCAATTTAAGAGCGGCATTGCCTATACTCTTTTTATGTGTATCTACTCTCTTGAGATTCGCAGACGGAAAAATATGATTGGTTTTATCTAGTTTTATAGCCCATTTCCCTTTATAACAATCATTCTGCGATAAAATTCGACGTCTATCAAGACTGAAGACACAACTCCGAACTTACAGTTCCGAGTTCAATTTCACATCAAACCGCGCGTAATCTGTGTCAGAAGGAAGCTGATTTTCTGTAGGTTATCTCTGGTTCTCGAATTTTCCGCTTCCGAGGAATTTTTATTATCAAATATTTACAACTACAAGTTGCGTGTTATAAGATGTTTCAATACGTCTTTATGTTCAATAACTATTTGTTTCAAAATTACAGTCAAAGGTTTATTTTTCACGTGTTAAACTAACATTAATATGCTAAAATATTCGGAGAGTGTATGTAACACGAGATACAAACCCGGGACGAATACTACTGTAATAAACACGCAATGGTGGGGGAAGGAAAAGAGCTTCACTGTGTGGTGACCATGTGTGTTTCTTATGAAATTTGGTATGGACGTTATGCTATGATTTACTACTTTAAATCACATTATTTATTTTCTACACTCGATATACTAAATTGGCGGATTCTTGAAGCTGTACTGTGGAATGATGGTGACACCATCACCCATAATTCTCTGCATATTCTCGTCACTTCTGGACACACATTGATACTCAAATTTCTGATGTGGGACAATGAGGATACCGTTATCCATAATCTTCTGCTTATGCAAGATGACTTGATCGTCCTTAACGACGCAATGTGGCTAGGTGAAGGGAATATCCGGTGATGTCCGTCAGTATGCATCTAATAAATCGAGAATGGCTGAGTGGATTTTTCTGACATTTGTGTTATTGTATCATTTGAGACTACTAAAAATCTTACTTATTAATTTACTATATCTGGTAATACCAATGTAAGAAATTGCATAGTCAAAACCTGAGACTGACAAAATCATTAAACATAAACGTCTGAGCATGTTTAATGACTCCGTGGCACCTGATAACGTCAATGGCCGAGATGAGGTAGCTTCTAGATGGAGCTAAAAAGCGTGTGCAAAGAATGTTGATCATCCTAATCCACTCTTTATTTAAACCCACATCATATTTGATTTCTCTGTCTCTTGCTGCGTAGATCACCCCACGATTGTGAGAACAAATATGCTGATACGAAGTATGGGCCCAATATCAGAGCTGGACATGGTGAGTACATGGACGGCTAAATATAAACGCATTCAGAACTATTAACTGATAATATTGTTTTCGAATTCAGATGGCGCTTACGTTAATAAAATACGTGAATTTTATAATTTTTTTGTATAATACCATTATTCTGTTCTAAGGAGCCACCTCAGATTGTACAGAATAATTAAGCCTTTGCTTTCGTATATCTTATTGTATCTTACAGCTTACATGTCCACCATTCTGGATTGTTATATGCAACTGGTTCTTGCTTTTAGACATAAAATTATGATAATGGAGGCGGAAATATTATTTTATCTCAATATTTTCAAATTAATGTTTAAAAGTCTTCACTTCTGAAACAAGGGCATAAATGGAGAATGTTCCAGAACAGAATGCTAAGGGGAATAAATGGACCTGAGAAATTGGTAGAACACGACTGAGGAAATTACATTTTGATTGGCTTCATAATTTAAACTTTTCCCTATTATCTGGGGGAAGAATGAGATAGAGAGAATTTTCACCAAAAGCTAGGAAGAAAACTGACCACTCGGGGGATTGGGTATAGATTAGATAGGCGTTAGAGCAATACCGAATGGAATTATTAGCTGTCTCAGAGACCAGTAGCACCTTTATTTAGGACGGTGGGGCACCTTAACGCTCCGTTGAAGCTCAAAATTTTGCAACTAAATAAGTATTCATTTCTCAAGAACAGTACGTAACGTGTCTTAGTGTCATTCTGTCAACCAGTTAGTAAGTCAGATATTTAATTATTTGTCTAACCATTTAGTCAGTAAGTTGCTCAATGAGTCACTGAGTCAGTCTATAAAACGTCATTATGTTGTTTTTGTCCTCAGGACTACTCAATGGACTGCTACTTTCGACAGTATTGGAGAGACTCAAGGCTCAGTTTCCTTGGACCGATTAAGAACTTGAGTCTTAGCATCAAGATGCTGGAGAGAATTTGGCGTCCTGATACGTATTTCTACAACGGCAAGAATTCATACGTCCACACCATCACAGTTCCAAATAAACTGCTGAGGATTACACAAGAAGGCGACATTTTATACTCCATGCGGTCAGTAACAGAATGAATCGTGAAATTTGTTGACTAGCTGAGCGACTGTTGAATGTGTTCTCAAGAAGGACTGATTTCAGTTTGAGTTCAATGTACGTAAAATAAAATGTTTAATTGAAGTAAATAAATAAATTAAAACGAAAGTGATACAACAAGGAAGAACTAATGAAAAAACATTTATGAAAGGCAAAACAAGGAATTATGTATGAAATATATAAGTAAGAAACGAAGTCAATATGAAAGTAAATAAATGGATAAATAATGAAAAAATTAAATAAAGAAATGGAGAGAAAGGCACTTTTAATTTGTTGCAGTTCGCCTTGTACACGCGGCAGCTGCTTTATCTCCAGAGTTACACGTGTCGTCTAAGCAGTTCTTTGCAGAAAATCGTCGTGTAATTCTCTGACCCCGATTTTTGCCTGGCCTCGGGGAAAAAGATAGTTTTATATCTATATTTCAAAATAAAATTATATTAAGCAGAATTTCCATTAATTGAGTAGGTTATTTAGCGACGAAGTATCAGCTGAAGAAGTTACGTAGCGTTGACTTAATCCAGGGTTCGGCAACCTTTTCGTTACCATGGACCGCATTGGCTATTCATATTTTTGCCCAAGGCCACAGAAGAAACTAATAATATCGAAGCTAATAAACAAACTTGTAATTCTTTAACTTTAAGAGTATAACTGATATTCACTTTAAAACAAAAAATATATGTATTTCTCTATATAGAGTTTATTGTAGGGTCGTTGTTAGTTTTCGGACAGATTTGATTTCAAGCCACTGGTAATTTTATGAAATGTCAATTATTAATACCACAGTATTTTTCATATTCTTTATTAAATTTAATTTGGGCTGAACATCAGAACAAAATTCCTTTACGCAATAGCGCATAAAAGAAAAGTTTCGAGGGTCACATGAGACCCGCCAACCCCTGAATTAGGCTATAACGTGCTATTATATTCGTTTATTGCAGATACAAATTTATTATAGAGGGATCTGATCAACAGTAGAGGTTGTCAGAGTCTGTTCTTGACCGAGTTCTTCAATAGCATACATTCTACACTGCAGATAATCACAGATTTTATTGCAGACAAACCTAATCAGTAGCAGAAATTCTACTCCAAACACTGCACTTGTTTCAGACTGATCGCGAAGCCTGTCGGCTATACACCAAGTCAGTCATTAGCCTACGGTAATGTTCTGGAAAAGAGGTGAAAGATAGCAGACAATTAAATTTTAATTATTGCAAAAGTCGTTCTTTAAATTAATAACATTGTGGGCGGAAAACTGTATTTTAACAAGCTTCGTAATTAGTCCATCGAGTTTTGTTACAATAAAGATAGGGATTGAACAGAAAATCTTGACCCTCCAGCCACACTACAATTTTCTTTCCAGCTTATCGTAAATAATCGCCTCGCATAATTCGGCGCTGCATGACTTCAGCAGTTGCTCCATCGTCACTAAATAACATTAAACAATTTTTAACTTCATGTAATCGGTGGATATACGTTTTAATAAATAAATATTCAAGTGGAATAAAATTACATTCTAATATTCTGTGCGATATTCTATATAATAGAAATTTGTTTAAATGAAACCTGTAGCAAAATTTGTATAGGTAAATATTTATGTGAGTCATTTTCCATCAAGAACAGTCTGAAACAAGGAGATGCTTTGTCTCCATTGCTCTTTAACTTTGCGCTAGAATATGCCATCAGGAAAGTCCAAGACAAGCAGGAGGATTTGCAATTGAATGGGACACATTAGCTATTGGCTTATGCTGATGATGTTAATTTATTGGATGACGATGTAAATCCAATAAAGAGGTACTCTGAAGTATTACTAGAAGCTAGTAGAAAGGCATATTAGGGTGGCTAATAAAGTTCAAATATTTGGGAACGACAATAACAAATCAAAATGATACTCATGAGGAAGTTAGGAGGAGACTAAATTCTGGAAATGCTTTCTACTTCTCAGTTCAAAATATTATGTCTGATTTCTAAGAACCTGAATATTAAAATATACAAAACAACAATTTATGTTATTTCTGTTTCCAGATTGACAATAAAGGCCAAATGCCCGATGGAACTTCGCAGCTTCCCAATGGATAGGCAGTCCTGTCCGTTGATATTTGGGAGCTGTATGTAGATTTCTCAACATAACAGTTTGAACTATTCACACAGTGCTCAACTTCTCCTCTTCTTATTATTCCCAACATGTTTCCATCTTTTAAAATGTTAAGAATATTTATCTTTGTTTTTATTATAGGACTGACACTAAATTTTAAGCTTATCGGTTAAGATGCTGCCACGATAACAGAATATTTCTCATATGTGGCAACTGCGATTAGTTATTTGTATTTGTTGAGAATAAGTACGGACTTTTTTTTTAGTTTTCACACGAAACAAAAAGTGCTGCTACAAAGAGCAAAGTTCATGTACAAATAAATGTCATAACTGGCTGGTTCACTTTACATATAATGAATATTTCAATTTCAATGAACTTCATGATGCATCTAATACTAACTAATTGAAGATTTCTGTCTTCTGGGTTGTTGCGCTGTGTAGTCTGGTCGATGCTAACCAAAGTTTCAGAGGTTATACTGCCTCCGTCATCAGGGTGATTCATCAGATAACAGATCAGTCAGCAATTATCTCATGAAAAGTTAAAAAAGGAACATTAGAAGATAAACAAAAATATATATGTAGGATTTAATTTTAAACATTTTTGTAAGAGTTCAAATCAGCAGTACTTTTAGCTTTCTTACTTGACAGATGCATACACAACACAGCATCTGGTGTACCAGTGGCAATCTGGGAGCAGTGTGGACTTTGTGAAGGGCATGGCTCTCTCACAGTTTGACCTCATAAGCTTTCCCCAGAGGAACCTGACCTTCAAAAGGAGAGAAGGTAACATTCCTGTGAATGTTGTATAACAACAGAGCTATATCTGAAATACATTGTTTTCAGTTGTACTTTCCCAGTGACCAACACCATGAAGCTGAGTCCTTCTTGAGAAGCTGATCTAGCTAAGAAGTTACTTGCATTTTATGGAACCAAAAGGTTCAATACTGTGGTCACTATAGCCTTCCAATAAACCCTATCCTGAGCCAGATTAATCTAATGCACACCCTCATATAAAATGTCTTTTAGATCCACTATCCTCCCAACTATGCTTGTACCTCCCAAGTATTCTCACCTCTTCATGTATCCCAATTAAATGTTCTGTGCATTTTTCTTCTCTCAAGAATGTTTTATGTACTGTCTATTTTATCTTTCTCAGTTTAATGATCCTAGTAATATTTGTTGAAACGGCCGGGGCGTGATGCTGACTACTGAACCCCATCTAGTGCTGAGGTCAAGAATGAGTAGGAGCTATACCTCCACTCCCCCCAAGCGCCTACATGGCGTATAGTGGGACAGCTTTACTTTTTTAATATCTGGTGAAAAGAACAAATTAAGAAGCTCCTCATTATTCAATTGTTTCCATGTATTTCTGTTTCTCTTTTATCTTAGGTCTAAATATTCTCCTCAGCATTCTGTCATAAAACACTCATTTCACATTCTTCCCTTATGATTAGAGAGACCCATACAAAATAACAGGTACAATTATAATTCTGTATATTTTAATCCTTAAGATTTCTAGATCTGTGGAAGATAAACAATTATGTACCTAGAGGTACCAAGCTCTCTTGGAATTTATTCTGCTCTTACTTTCTTCTCAAAAGTACACATTTCCACTCCTGTTAGAAATAAGTTCTGGCAATAAGTATCATCATAGTTCAGATTTCTTGGATTTTTATGGATTTAGATTTTCTAGTTGACCCATCCATTTCTTCAGAAGCCTTCATAAATCTTATTTTCTTCTAGATATATATTTCAAAATTTGTTCTGCCTTTATTTTACATTCCATTTTTTCTATTCAATTGATCAAATTACATTTAGGATATTACACAGTGAGGAACTTCACAATGTAAACAAGTCGTTTAGCACTCTGAAATTTAAGAGTCTATGACAGGCTTAACATGAAGCTAGGACAGGAGAGACAGGATATTAATAGTTTCAATGGGAAAGCACCAAAGGAAGCAACCATTTGGAACATCAAGAAAAGGATGACAGGATAACATCAAATGAGTCTTATGGAAACACCTTGTTAGAATGGAACTGGCTCAGGATTGTGTTAAATTATATTATTTGTTGTTAGTAGTACTGGATCTATCTCAGCAATAAGTTAGTTGGTTAGTTTGTTAACAGCATTACACAGGAGTGCAGATTGTAAAGGTCCTGAAACTCCTACCAAACAAAATAAGAGCCTTTTGCTCAGAAATAAGTACCAGCATTAGAGCAGTCCTCATTGTTTGTCTTTGTTTACGTAGGTGAATTCTCAGTTCTGCAAGTGAACTTCAACTTGCAGCGACACACTGGCTACTTTCTTATTCAAGTGTATGTGCCTTGCATCCTCATAGTGGTGTTGTCATGGGTCTCCTTCTGGATACATCGAGAGGCTACAAGTGACAGAGTTGGTCTTGGTAAACTTTAATTATGCTCAAATTAGTTGTCTCCTTGTTATGTTGGACTAGCGATATAACCCAGGTGAAGGGAAAAAATACATACAGAATTTGGGATGGACTGTTGGAAGACCAAAAAATAGATATTGTGAAACTATGGAATGGATCAAATTTCATGGTAAATTTTGTTATGAACACTGTTGAGTGACTGCTTTATATCATTAAAGTATGCATTGGTTTATTGGTTAATCAATAGTTTGTGTGTAACATTTTGTTTGCTGGTTGTCACTACATGAAGAAATATGGTCTCTTGGTAATTAGTTAATTTGTTATCAGGTCCAAGATCTACTAAGCAATTAGCTTCAATTATGCCATATATTCTTCCAATGTCCTCAGACAAAATACTCATTATATATCAATAAACTGATAATTTAATTTAATTGTAATGTTACATGATGGTGAACTGTGAGATCTTTGTTTATATTGAAGTGCATGGCAATATTCATCATGCAAATGTAAGATGAACAAAAGAAATACAGTGTTTTCTTGTTTACTTTAGGTATTACTACTGTACTGACACTGTCAACAATAAGCCTAGACAGTAGGATAGACCTGCCTAAGGTTCGCTATGCCACGGCTCTGGACTGGTTTCTGCTAATGAGCTTCTTTTACTGCATTGCTACACTTCTCGAGTTTGCTGGTGTTCATTACTTTACAAAGGCAAGTAGCTGTATATGCCTCTTGTTGTGTATGGGTGTGGAACCTGGTCTCATACTGAGACAGAAGATAATACATTCAGTGTTCGAGAGCAGGTTGCTAAAAGAAACAAAATCTGTAAATTATATTGTTACCACAAAGTGACTTGAAGTCATATAAAACATTATTTATGAAATTCTGTACACTATACATCATTTAACTATTTTTTTCTGGTAGGAACTATAAGGATTTTTGAGGTCAGTGTGGGATTCTCTGACCTGAAAAAGAGGCTAAATTTATTTCAAAGTTTTACAATCATAGGTTGGCAGTGGTGAGATTCCTGTGGATGAGGAAGAATGGTTAGATGCAGAAGGGCCTCCAGAAGAGGCAGTGGGCTGCATTGCAACTGACATACCAGACACCAGTCAAAGCCCATCATTACGATCAGGACGCCGGAGGAGCTCCCTTATCTGCCCCATTTACAATGTATGGAGATCGTATTAATACACTAACTCTAGATGGATCTGAAGGTCTAGTGCAATGTTTATCACGCAGTAGTTCAAGGACTGCTGCTGATCTGTGGCTCAGTTAATTTATACCAATCATTTTAGCAACCAAATATTTTATTTTAAACATTACTATAAATTTCTGCTTTTCCTTTATACCAGTGGTATCAGCAACAGAGTGATGAGGGAGAATATGGAGTTTTGGGGCCATTCTCTGCAGTCTGTACTTCAGAATGAGGAGGCAGAGCCATGTAACAAACAGCAGGTCCTTGGAATACTGACAGATCTAAATAATTATTTCATATATCCCCCTATGGGCATTTAGTATATGTGATCATCATGTCTCTTCAATTTTAATATCACACAAGGACATTATATATATATATATTTCCGGTTTAACAATGTTTGTACATTTTTCCGGTACCCAAGGCTACATTTGAATCTAACAATTTACATTATAATTTTTCTTCTCCATTCTTGTCTGTCTGCCCACAAATCCTCTTCAATGTTTCTCTCCCTCACTGATGATTGAATTCCCTGTATCCAGGCATTTGGAGGACGTCCTCTTTTCCTTCTTCCAGGCGGTACCCATTCCATGATCTTCTTCGGTAATCTCTCTTCTGTCATCCTTTTTGTATGTCCATACCATTCTAATTGCTTTTGTTGGATAAAATCAAGAGTTGAATTTTCAACATTCAAATAAACATATTTAGACACACTAATATTAATTATATTTGTAGGCTGTTATTTCTACTGAACAGCATGACAGTATTGGGATTTCGCTTGGAAACCCCACTGTTGTTTTATCAGTCAATGAAATGGCAAAGTCTGAGAATCGTTTGTTTAAAGGTAAGACACTGGCCTTCTGTGCAAAAGATCTGTTTTAAGACCAACCAGATCAGGTGTGAATGTTTCCTCATCTCTATCAAAGTCAGATTCTACATTAAACTGTGTCCCCCCTCCACTGGTCATCTTTCCATCTTCATTATCATTTTATTGTCAAGGGAGAAAGATAAATTGTGTCTCAGCTAAAGTGAGTATTCCTACTATTACCTTCGATAAGTGTATAGAGTCCATACCTGGAGCTTAAATCACACATATGAGTATGAGGCACATAATACTGAATATGACAGTAATTAAACTCTTTTCAAATGCTGATGGCCTTTAATTATATCCTAAATCTGCCAGGAATCGGACACTAAGCATGCAGCCCATAACCAACCACTATATTGAGCTGTTGATCTCAAAACATACCAACTTATTTCTTCAGTTGTGCATTCATTCATTCATTTGTCTGTGTTTTTAAGTTACATTTTCCATTTAAATATCTGGGTTCATGAATAAAAAACATGTAAATTCATATATCAGAAGCAGATAAAATTTTAGCAAATTGTGTATACCACAGGATCCACTTAACTATGGAATTTCAACATTATCATCTCCATCGTGCCAGCAGCAGCAGCAGCAAGCACACCGCCACAATCGAGTCATGTGTGTGACACGCCAGACCCAGACTGAACGCCATGTACCCAAGTGGCAACAGTTGCTGTATTGTTTAGCAGGAGATGATGCATATCGCCGCCAGCGACAGCGTGAGGCTGCCCATGCTGCAGCTGGAGATGTAGGAGTCATTTCCAGACATGTGAATAGTGTGTCCCACATAGACAAGGCAGCACGTATCTTGTTCCCTGCCTCATTTGGTCTCCTGAATCTCTTCTATTGGGTTGCTTATTATACGTGTCAGGAGGAATTTGGTTGGAGAGACCCACCCATTGCACCCTTCAGTCACTAAACTGTAGATGAAACTGAATTTAAGAACATTCACTTTCAACTCTTACTCAAAAACAGTTCTGTGAAAAAAAAACTACAGGAGGACATATTTGTTTGATAGTTTATTCAACTACTTATAAAATCCAGAATTTTCCTGGAGTGGTTGAGAAAAACCACAAAGAAACTCAGTCAGGAAAATCACCCTAAAGGCAGATAATCAAAACCTTGACCATTTAAATACAAAATAGGAGGACTAACTATTATACAGGAACATTCATTAGGAAGCCAATAATGTAAAGGAGTGAGCACAAATCACCACTGGTAATTATTCATATTATGGTTATTATATCTATCATAAATGTGGTTTACTTAATTTCTATAATTAATTATCATCTTCATAGTTGTGGGTAGCTGCTGTCCTTTCCCTGCATTCCAAAGTACCCTCACCCACATTATCATGTATTTTCTAGCTTCCCCTTCTCATCTATTTACATGTGCAGTTCAAATTTGACCCAGGCAGTCACTGCTTCTTGTGAACAGTGATGGGACTCAATGTCATTCCACACAGTCCTTTCATGGGATGGGACAAATATGTACATGTAGGGACAGAGTGCCTCATGGAAAAATAAAATAATATGATTTATTGGCACGGTATGATCAAAATCCTGGGTCAAGTCTGAACCACCTATGTAGCTCCCTGGGAGGTCAGTTTATGGTTGGAGTTAATTTATTGGTTTGTGTATTATGTTTTAATTTGGTTATCCTTTCAGGTCCTCTGTTAAATTCAGTCCAACAATGATAAAATTGTGTTGTGTTCCAGTACCAGATTATATCAGATTTCAATTTCAAATAAAATAAATAGATTTTTTCTTCTGGTAAGTTCTGATAGTTTCAATAAATATACCTACTGTATCAACCCAGATTGACATTTTTAATGTCATGTTCCAGTCTAATGTCAAACTCAGATGAAGAACTTCAGATTCTGAACAAAATAAATTGGGTAAAATAGTTCAAATAAATGTACTCTAAATAGTTAACTTCCTAGTTTAGATGGAGTGTTTAAGTCAATGATAATATTCTGTTCAGTGTAATACATTTCATGTACTATACTTACATCACTTCTCATAGCATTCTGAAACATAATTAATATCTATTCAATTAAGACATGTTGAAAGTGAAGGTATATTTCCACACATTCAATGTTAGTGGTCAGCTTCACTCTCTGACCACTTTACCCTAGTAAAGGAAGCCATCGTATACCCAGAGCCAGTCTAGACATGGTGGCAAAGAGAAAAGTTTCTGTCCTTGCCAAGAATCAAGCCCCAGTCATTCAGCTTGAAGCCAGTCACTTCATTGACTAAAATTTTTAAAAAAATTGTAATTTTATAACTTTCCACTTTTCAGAAAATCCTGTGTTTAGATCACAAACTTTCAGAATAAAAGACTCAGGAACACAATTATTAATTAAAGTGTTCAGAAATTATTTTTTGTTCCTACTGCATCAAAAATCCATTTATCATTCTGGAAGCTTAAAAAAGGTTGTTAGAGGAACATTTAAGCCAGACATAGATCCTTCTTACATAACAATAAATATAGGGCAAAGTGTGTGTACATACCTGTAGTAAGGCTTCAAAACATTATTTTGTATGTGCGCCTATTTACAGAAAAAATGTTTCACATTACTGGCAGTATTAGAAAAAAGCGGTGAGCCACTTAGGCCTGGTAAGATATTTCCGTGATTTTGAAGTGTTCACTTCCAAATTTATCTGTGGATTGCAGCACATAAAACTATACAGATGATCCATGATTTAAAGAAATGTTGGTAATCCTAGGGGGGCAGTTTTTCATCTTTCTTTTTCTTCGCATTATGACTAATAATTCGTGTTACTTGGAAACATTATAAATTACGTTTGAATCTGAACATATAATGTTTTAAAAATTAGAACAACCTACACATTACACAATCAAGAAAAGCTTAATGCATTTTAGACCTCAGCAATTCAACTTCTGGCACTAGAAAGATAGTCAGATTATACAAATGTTTTATGTAATCAATAATAATTTAGAAACTTTGCTCCAAGTTGATATGTGTCTAATTATTTTGTGTGCACGTGCATTTAAATGTTCAAATTTCGCAGTTCTACTTCATTGGTACCATGAGGTAATCAGTGATTGGCACAACTGCAAAACTTGAAAAAGTGGTCAGTCACAGATTATCACCAATGTCACAGCCGAATTACAAATGGCTGACACTATAGTAGTGGGATTATCTTCTACTTTAAATTGAAAATCAGTGATAATGATGTTCCATTAATAATGACTGTTACAAATACTGCACGATATTTCCGAAATTAATGAGCTTAATTTAGGACATTGTTAATCGCAACATTTAGTTAAGAATTATGTTGCTCTTTGAAGTAATCTTGAATGCAGGATCAATGTTGGCTGCTTGGAGATACATACTGTACTTTATACATAATTTTTCACAGCAAAACATATTCATCATGCTTGAAAGGTTAGTAATAGGTTAAGTGAATCACGGTTTTTGTTGACTACAATCATTCCCGCCCTATTTCTTATTTGTTGAACTGACACCATTTTAGTGGACGTTTGGAGATTGCTGTCAATCATTGGCCGAAACAGTGCTGACTTTTTCCCCACCCCGCCCTTCAATATGACCATTGGCTATACACCTGTCATTACAAATTTTAAATGTCAATATTGTTAATCATATGATGTAAATTGGTTTATTTTACCGGAAATTGTGAAGAATAATTTTAATTCTTTTACATATGTCGTTGTCATAATGTATTGTCCCTAAAATATGGCACACCATGTAAGGTTAATTATAGCACGATACCTTTTGGCTGAATGCTTCAATTAGGCATTTTCAGTCGGTGAAATTTTCATAAAAGTTTACTTGTTTTTAAATACCATTCTTCGTAATTGCAGTCAATTCCAGTTCGTCTGTTCATGTACCTAATCTGTATTATGTTTTTCGTTGTTTTCAGTTTCATAGTAGCTGTGTTAAAAGAGGAAGATTCATGTTATATACAATGAAGATATTTCACTGACTACACGAATTCTGTGTTAGATAAATGTGATGTCTTTGTGATTCTGGATTATTACTGTGATGACTAGTTGATATAAGAGTCCATCAAGAATGGCAAGAATTATAATTGGCTTTACATGACATGAAGCAAAAAGAGTCAGTGTTTGTAGTTTTTTTATTACAAAATGCTTGCTGTAACACAACGAAATATTTACCTGCATTATTAGCTGTCAAGTGATTATGTATACATTTTTTTAAGTTTATTTTGTAATGTTTGATAATGGTCTACATGAATCATAATTGGAAGAACTGCGTGTGACATTCTCATCTTTGGATAAATTAACCTAAAAGTGATGCTTGATTGCCTCCTCTTTATACTGCTTAGTTCAAGAGATAATGAATGAATGTGGGTTTGATGAGGACTTCAGTGACACATTGAGTAGGAAACAAATTGACATCAATGTTATTGCTGGTTAAAGATTATATAAGTATTGTTTTGGCTGAAATATGGCAGAAGGCATACCTCAGATCAGAACAGAACATAAGTGTAACTCATCAGTTAGTTTCTCACATTCTCAAGGTCTAAGTCAACAAACAAATGGTGAAGATGACATTCAAATATCACTTGCACCATACATTCAAAGCTATTTGGCTCAGAGTGGTCAGCGGACAAGTTGTTGTGGCATCTACCTACCTATTCTGTTTGAACGGGCAGCCAACCATTCCTGGTGGGACCCTCGCTTTGACTCTGAGATACTTGAAGGCCAATATCGAAGAAGCTCATTTCCTCAAGTGCGACTTCGGTTCCAGTATGTGTCTTATTCATCACTTAACATTCCATAAGCTTGATTATATTAAGGCATTTTTAATTGGCATAAAGCTGAAGGCAGGGTATGTGTCATTTTAAGTTGTTATTTATTTTACATGCCTAAAAAACACTTCTTAAGGAAAGCTATGTAATCCAAGTACACTTTATAAAATGCATGAAGTTTTATAGATTTATAATACATTTGATGTTGATGTATTTTTAAACTCATTTTTAGAGCTTTGGTGATGTAACTTAAATCTACTCACCATTCTACTTGCTTATAGTCTCACAGCATGCTTCATACATCCTTTAATTTGGTTTCTACACTTTGCACTTGTCAGTAGACTGATTAATCTATACTGTGTAAAAGCCAGTTTGATGTTTATGAGTGATTGTGGTTCCTTGTGGTCACAGACAGTATTTAAATGGGCACAAAATGGGGGGAAATGTTGAAATTGCATAATACAAGGTCACGGCTGATATTTGTTTCTGTTGTTTTTCTCTACTAGTATCTTTTAGCATTTCTTACCTAAAACTATTTTAAATTTATGTTAAAGAGTACTGTATTAGTTATTAATTACATATGTTTGTGCCATGTCTTGAAACACTTACTGATATCTGGGAGGAAGCATGTAAAAGTATGAAAGGAAGAAAGAGAGAGTAGGATTAGGATTCAAAAGAAATAATTTCCTATTTACTTTCATCTGACTTTTTATATTAGTTGTTAAATGTGTAATACATTTAGACAGAGACTAGGAATATACTTGGCATTGGCCATAGCTAATTTGTCAGAGGCAATTGAGTGAGCTAATTTCTGAAACACTTTGCTTCTGCATGTTATGCGTATAGTTTTATTTCTTTTGAATTTAGAATATTACATGAGAACAGGAAATCTGGTCAGGAGAGACATGAATGATTACAAGAAAATAGGTGTTTTATTTTATCTTGTGTTAAATTCTGTTTAGTCACATTAATATTACTGAAGTGCAGAAATCTTATTTTGCGATTTTATTCACATTATCTCTAATGCATAACCTTTTTGTTACAATTTTGTAGTTTTAACCCTTATGTTAATGCCATGCACTTTTAGAGTCAGGAATTTTTAAAGTGAACTGTGCCCTGTTTTATGTAATTATTATGATTTTCTCCTGAGTGTCAGAACCTAGCCCCTTTGCAACCTGACCTTGTGTTATATGTTACCTTTTTTATCCTCAGGCCCTTCTTCAGTCTGCATGTACAATCTGTTTCTACCAGGTGTTGGGTAAAAAATTTATAAATTACATGTTATGCAGGTTCAAATAGCCATAGAAACTCACATTCCTCCGAACACACACACATATTAAAATAATTCTTTTTCTCTTTTTCAGATATGCCCTTTTGTACATCCTTGTTGTATCCCTGTCATGGTTCATATATTTCCTCATGACTGGCCTCAAAGGAAACACTCAGCACTGGATTGCTGTTTCTGTAACATTTGCCATTCTGTTTTTTGTAATTGGGTTAGTTTTACTTCTCACTTACACAGATATATATAGGCAATATACATGTCAAATTTCAATATTTGTTGCTACCCTCATTAGTGGCTTGTCACTAATTTTTGTAATTTTTGATCCATCTATAGAAAAGTCCCCAGACATTACACCTGTTGGACAGTTTTCCCTTTGTATTGAGATTCTGCTTGTTATTTACACAGTGATTCCATTGCCACTTTACATGTGTGTAGCTATTGGAGGAGCTTATTCTGTAGTGTTTGAATGCTTGACTCATTACTTAAGTACTGGAGAAATTTACAGCAACATGAGAAGCGCTGGTATTGCTGTGCGCATTTTGCTTCATATGTGTGTTCACCTCATAGGCATTCATATTTTGATAATGACTCGTGTTCGTATGCGTGGAACTTTTATGAAAGTTGGACAGTCATTGCTTGTGAGACGGCAATTGGAGATGGAAAAACAGCTTAAGGAGAAAATGATTCACTCAGTGATGCCACCAAAAGTTGCTGATTGGCTGATGTCAGAAACAGGAGGTGGAAGAGAAGATGATGGAGGAAAAGAACGAGGTGATCATACATTGAGGTATTCCACACGTGGTTCAAACCCTGGAGGGAGTGACATACGTTCCCTTTTCAGACCATTCAATATGCACCGCATGGAAAATGTGAGCATATTATTTGCAGATATTGTTGGTTTCACTAGAATGAGTTCAAATAAGACTGCTGAGGAATTAGTGGGCATTTTGAAAGACTTATTCGAGCGATTTGATGATTTGTGTGCGACACATGGCTGTGAGAAAATCTCAACCCTCGGTGATTGCTATTATTGTGTTGCTGGTTGTCCTGAACCTAAACCAGACCATGCTACAGCCTGTGTGGAGATGGGACTTGCGATGATAGATGCCATCAAGCAGTTCGATGCAGAGAGGGATGAAGGTAAGGACTGTGTGCATATGTCAGCTTAGAATAGATGTCAGTATATCTACAGTAGCAGACAAGTAAGGAAGGATAAATATTTTTTTAATGCATTCTTTGTGATTTTGTATATCATATTGCTCTTTACTCTTATTTATTGCAGATACAAATTTAATGTGGTAAATCTAATTAAAATTATTTTATTTTATGTTTTCTTAATTACTCTCCATAGGGAAAAATGTTGCAGAAAATTGTAGATCTTAATTATGTCAATATATTTTATTATGTACTTGTCTTTTGTGTGGTCTGTTATTGTGAAAATTTATAAAGTTTGTTAAGTCTGACCTTCATGTAATGTAGTGATTGCATTGGACAGACATGAAACAAAATTAAATGTGCCTGATAATGTTTGGAACAAATGTCCAGTACTTAAATATCACCTAAATATGTTTACTAGTTTCAGAAATGAGATACATGGACAGATGAACAGACATACAGACACATTCCTTACTCTTATTTTCTTCATGAATATAATTTTGATTTGACACTGTTATTCCAAAATATCTTAATCCTTTGATACCCCAGATACACCACACAAGTGTTGCATGTTTTTAATACTTGGTATTTCTTCTGCAGGAGTAAATATGCGAGTGGGTGTCCATACTGGCACAGTACTTTGTGGTATTGTGGGTACAAGGAGGTTCAAGTTTGATGTGTGGTCCAATGATGTGACACTGGCCAATCAAATGGAATCAACAGGCAAGCCAGGGCGGGTTCATGTTTCAGAAGCTACATGCAAATTTCTGGATGATATGTATGTGCTTGAGGAAGGAGAAATGGTGCAAGGTAGAGATCAGACTGTTTTGTACAGTACTCCTATACCCTAATTATTATTACATACAATTATAAACCTCAATTACTATGTCTCTGTGAAGTGAAAATGCTTCAGGCTCAAACCTCACTGTATTGGAAAAACTACGTATGTTATGTGGGTGTGTATGGTGGTGGTATGTGGTAGAAATATGTTAAATACTGCATTTGAAAATTCTCACCACACATCTTTCACAGTTCAGTGCATCAATCCCTCTTCAGGACAGTGACCAATAAGGATTGTTCCTGGGTGAAACCAGTACATATGCAGTGGCATCTTATAACTTAGTGTTGTTGTAATGCTCTAGATATGTATTCAGATGATGTATGATTAAAATAAGGAGTACTGCATTATTGGCTATCTTGACTGAGATTTTGCTTGATTTTCATCAGTCTCCCCATGCAGATGCCAAAATTAGTACCTTTAAATAGGTCATGACTGCTTCCTTTGAAATCCCTACCTACTCACAGGCTATCCAGATTCAGATTTTCATGGTTTTGTTTGGAAAGTTGTGGAAAATGCCTAAAATATGTCACAACTGCTTTTTTAAAATCCTTATCTATTTACCATTCATGATCATCTTTCCATTTTGTCCAACACTGCATAACCCCAGTAGTTGAAACAGCTTTACTAAGTAAACTAGGATTCTGTCAATCAAGAATGCATGAGCAATTATTGTTACTTAGTTGTGAGTTACTATGTTTCATTCTCTTAGGCATGAAGACATATTTCATTCAGGGACGCAAGTCAGATACCTCTTATGAGAACTTACTTCATCAGAAAGATAATCCACCTTCCAGTCTCCTACCCATTGTAGTGGCACCCCCATCTTCCCCTCCCGAGTCACAATCACATGTTGTCTCCTCTGACCCAAAACAACGACCACATTTTCTTGGTCTCATGTCCTCCAACTCACTTAGTTATGCCACTAACAGAATGAAAGCACATTCCTTACCAAGCATCCTCAATTCTGACAATGATAATGAAGACAGTGAGAGAGATGAAGGTGGGAGAGATATCAGCAAGAGTCCTACATCACTCACAGGCTGTGGTGCTAGTGGCAAGTTCTCTCCACTCTGTGTCACTCCATGGAAGCATCAACCCAGAAAGTTGAAAAAAAAATCAGGTAAGGGAAATATCACAGAATAGTAGTCATTAACTTAGAGAGATTATGATGGGTTAAACATTTAATGCAGACTGGGATAACAAGAAATTTATTCTTGGAAAGCAGCCACTTGGGAGATCAAAATGTAGATGAGATGATAATAGCAAAATGGATCTTAGAGAAATAGGTTGTGAGAGTGTGAACCAGATTGAATTTTCATAGGAAAATGATGCTCGACAAGCCATGGCATTAAACTAACTTGTGCAGTTCATATAATGTTGTAAAACAACTAAATACAAAAATAAAGAAAACTTTCATGTTTAGTAATTATTGTGTGTGAGAATGAGTGAATCTCTCCTGTCATTCCAGGAGAAAGTGGAATTCTGGAACAGAATCTTCCACATTCTACGCCCCTGTTAAAAGAATTGGATGTCAGTGAAGATAATAATGGGTACCAGCAGGTATGTAAAGATTATAAATTGTAAGAGTCATGGAGATACTTCTGCTGATTACAAATTCAGCACGAAGGAATACATTTCAATTGTAAAATTTCCATGGGTGTTAATGACTTTACATAATACGTAGTATGGTAATTAATTTTATCAATATTTTTTTCACCAATTTCTTGTTTTATTATGCTGTACTAAATGCATTTTGTCTCTACAAAGCATACTCCATCTCACATTTTGTGTATTATCAGTACCTCTTCTCATACACTAAATAATAATGATACAACAATATCTTAAAATAATTTTATAACATGTTTATTGATGAAAGACTCTCGGGTTATAAGCCGCGTCTGGTGGCTTGTAACCTGCTAGAGAAACAAAAATATTTAATTGAATATCCAAGAGCAGACTCGTTTGCAGTATCAAAGATTTTACATTTTGAAGAATTTTGTGCTAGTGTACATTGTTATATAGTTGGTGAACCCCAGTGAAGAAGTTGCAACCAGAAACACTGTGGCTCACTTGAGTGTCCCATCACCAAATGAAGATCAGCTGAGTGTATGTCTGTCTGTCAACAGCCGCAAAGATTCTGGCATTCGTAGCAACAGCAGACGAAGCAGCATCCAGCAGCAGGTATTCTTTCACCTTAAGTGATTGTGCTTTACCTATAATTCCATTGTTTTATTTTCCTTATCATTTCCATTATTTTTCTTCCTCATTGCTTTCGTTTCTTTTTCTTCATCTTCACTACCATTTTATTCCCCTTCAACCACATTTTCCCCTATCCCACTTTTCCCCCCTCTTACTTCCTCTTTAGTATTTTATCCCCTTCCTAGTCTGCTTCCTCTTCAGCTGTTTCCTTCTCATTTGCCTCCTCACTCCTCCTCCTTGCTGCTTGTAATAGGCCTAATATAATTTCCAGTTTTTGTCTGTTATCTGCATACAGAGAATAATACCAAAATATTTTTATAAATTAGCAAGGAAATTGTTCTGATAGTTAATGCAGAAATAAATACATGATCATGCCATGAATTTAACATATTTTAATTATACTGGATCTTAGAAATGTGTTACCATAATTTGTTGTTACCGCTACTTTCTTGTTTTGCTTGTAGATTTGATGTTCCTTGCTCTTAGTTAGTAGTAACAGTAACAAAAGATCTGACTCCATAGATCGCTTTATGTGAGAAGCTGAGTGTTGCTCAGCTAGTCAAGAAATTCACCATCTTCTATGGAACTAAAAACTTCATTAGTGTGTTCACAAGGGCCTACTATTGGTCTGTCAGTATTGGCAGTAAATAGCTTGATTGACTACATTCAGGAGTTGCTATAACAGCATGTCAGTTAAGAATCATAGATTAAGGTAAATGAAGGTACACACAGCTCTAGTAGACACCCTAGAATCTTATCAATCTAAAACCATACAACAAGGTCTACTTCCACTGGTTACTATTTACAGATCTATGTGATGAATGGAATAGCTCAGGGTGAGCTACTAACTCACCGTGTCAGTGGCTACTATACATCTAGCCAGTCTTCAATAAATGACACAGATACTGGTAAGTATTGTAATAACAGAAGAGTATCAGATTGGAATTTTTTTAGTATGATTGTCCTTCTTTGAGATATAACTTATCATTTTAATGTTATTACAGATATTTAGAATGTGAGAATAACTGTAAGGTATATCAAGTTGAATTATCTTGATTCTAACCATAGACCTTATAATATACCTTTTTCAGTGTCAGCTGTTTCCCTAAATAGCTGAGCATTTTAGTTTGGCTTTTGAAACATCACTGTGTCTTACTGTTCCAGATCATTAACAGGTCTTTGTGCCTAATAATTTCGTGTCTCACAGATTATGATGCAACTATTTGTGATCAGTTTAATTTTTGAGTAAGAAAATAGGTAAGAGTGCTTGAAGAAATCTTACATTGAAAACGTACTTATTTTTTAAATCATCTGTGATCTATTCCTGTGCTTATGAGGATGATAATTGTGTGGTGTGATATATATTTTATGTCAGGTATGAAGAATACATATAGAAATTCTGTGTATTCTGGTATGGATTATACCTTTCCAGTCTTGTTTATTAGCTCTTCATATAAATACAGTATTTAACCTGTGTAGTTGAAACAACATCATTGAATGACCTAAGAATCAGTTGATTAACATCTGAGAGTGGAATGTTTTTAATTTTCAGACCAGGATTTAAGGCGGAGTCATCTGCCTCCTCCTTTGGGAGACAATTTCACTATCTGTTTCCACAAGCTGCGCAAACAGTCAGACCTGCAACTCATCCGCTGCGTTCAAGACAATGTGACATCACATCACAGCTATTTTGTGAAGCCCCCTCTCTCTGGTATCACTTTGTTCTTTCGGCAGAAGGAAATGGAACGTGAATATCGTGCCTATGCCCATAGAATTACTGAAAAGCATGGAGGCTCTCCTCCAACACTTGCTACATCTCGCTTTAACACCTACTTTGACATTCTCATCTCAGCACTGGTGTACACTGCCATTGCAGTTTCTCTTTTCTTACTGTACAGTGTGTCCCCTATTTGGATTGCATTTTGTACAGTAGCAACAGCTATTCAGATATCTGTTCTGTTACTCTGTGTTCAACAGTTTCTTAAGCCAGTTTCAGTTCATTCTGACTCGGGAACTGGAACATATATTTCTCACTGGCTGCTTGATAAGTTTTCACATTGGTATCCATGGCACATTTGTGGTGCTGTTTTGGTAAGTCTGCCCATAGTGTCAGTTCTAGTAAATTTTCTGTGTATGAATTTTTCTTCTACAAATGGTGGGGATCTGTATTTTAGTTATATGCTATGTGTGGGACTTGTACATTTCTGTAATTTTACACAGTTGAATTGCTGGATGAAGAGTGTTCTGGCAAGTCTGGCTGGGATAGTGTATGTTTCTTTAGTAGCTAGTCATGCCTGTTCAGTTTTTACATTTGACTATAACAGTGGACCCAGAAACAATTTTAACCCTAATGTGACAGCTGGAATGGTCAATCTGTCACTCCATAATAATCATAGTTCTGTTGCAGAATATTTTGAGAAGCAGCGTGGACATCATAATTTCAATCTTTACCATGGAGAGATTTTTATCGATGTATTGTTGTTACTTGTTTTAGTTTGGTTTTTGAACCGAGAATTTGAAATCAGTTACAGATTAAGTTTCCACAGTAACATGGTAGCTGCTCAAGACAGAGCTAGAGTTCAGAACATGAAGAACCAAGCTGATTGGCTTCTACACAATATAATTCCAAAACATGTTGCTGATCAGCTAAAAAACACTGCCAAATACTCTGAAAACCATCAGGATGTTGGCATCATCTTTGCGAGCATTGTTAATTTCAACGAGATGTATGATGAGTCTTATCTTGGAGGCAAGGAGTATTTAAGAGTTCTGAATGAATTAATAGCAGATTTTGATGACTTGCTGACAAACCCAGACTTCAGAAACATTGAAAAAATTAAAACTATTGGAAGTACATTCATGGCTGCATCTGGTTTGAATCCTGAAGTTCGACGCCAAAATAAACATCCATACCAGCACTTGTTTGAACTCATGGACTTTGCCATGTCATTACAGAAAGTGATTGATGATTTCAATCGAGACCTGCTTGAATTTAACCTTATCTTAAGGGTTGGTTATAATTTTGGTGATGTTACAGCAGGAGTTATAGGGACCACTAAGCTTTGTTATGACATCTGGGGTGATGCTGTTAATATAGCTAGCAGAATGGATTCTACAGGAGTTCGAGGAAGAATTCAAGTTGGGGGTGCTTGTGTGCCTGTTCTCTCTGAACGATATGAATTTGAACCGCGTGGTTCTGTATATGTAAAAGGTAAAGATAATATGAATGTCTTCCTGGTGAAAGGCAAGCGTGGTGATATAAATATTGATGATGGTTGAGGAAAATTCTGCTGCTTTTCAGTTTATATCATTTGTCTGAATCATCAGATTTAAATCAACAGTATGGTTTCCGTTTCTTAAAGGAAACCATTTGCTTATGGGTTACATATTCATAAATATATGCCCTTGATATATGATAAATCAAGAACTGGTCATTTTGGCAAGTGCATGGCATATGCCATCCTGTTGTGTCAAATCTTGCCAATCTAAAATTGTTGATACAAACATGCTGTCTCTTTCCAATAGATGGGTACATCAGTTGATCTGGTTGGCTTGCCTCTCTCTGGATCCTGCAGTATGAACCTGATTGTGATTAACTAGTCTGAATATTAAATGCCAACAGTTTTTCAGTTCTGGCTGATCATACAGTAGAGCATTGTGCCATACTATTAAAGCTGTGACATAATTGTGTTGTGCCCAAAATATTGATCATTTTTACTCAGTATTGTGGTATGTATCCTTTGCACAAAGTGCATAATGTGAATAGACAGTATGGAGGACACCCATTTGTCAACACATTTATTCTCTTAAACTACTGGACAAAGTTTAATATAATTTGATATGAGGGATGAGAGGGGATGTCTGAATTAAAAAGTTAAGTGGAAAATGTAATTGTGGTTCATATCAATCTAATATAACCTTCATTTTACATTAGACTGAAATAAAACTTGATTTTCTCTAAAATGGCTCATACAAAAAAAAGATATTAGAGTAAAACTTTGACTTGAAACATCTTATGATATAGTGAATATTTAATGAACTACAAAAAAATTCTGAGGTTGACATTTTCACAGTGGTGAGGATTATGATAATGTTCCTGGTTTTGGTGCTATATAGACTCACAGATGTTGGCATTCCAGACAAACATATGTCCATTCTCTTCAAAGTTTAAAAATGGAGAAATTGTTTTTTCAAAACATTGGCATCTACCTGCAATTCTATATGGTGCCAAAACCAGGTCATCATCAGTAATAAAAATAATTTCCAACGCAGTGCATTGGTATTAGCTTTGCAACAGCAGGTATGTAACTGAAACAAATGAATATCAAGGCCAGTGAGGTGTACTTTGAGTATGTCTTTCTACTCTTTCAGCTTTGTGCAGTACTGTAGAGTAACAGAAAGCAGACTAGGTATAATTATATATGCTATTACATTACGGTAGGTTATCATTCTATATTTTCTTTTATATTAGGTGTGGATTTTTCTGTCTTGGAAGTTCAAAAGATGTGAATAATGTATTACTTGATAGTAAAGTTATTCTATATTGGTGACTTTCTGAGTATTAGGAACATTGCTTTCTAAGTAGACTCAATATTTAATTTCTATAATAGTGGCTCCTATCTCAAGGTGGGCCTGCTAATACCATGTCATGTCTTTATTTTGTCAGTTTGAGAAGTATACTGTCATTTGTTAGTCTCTCCCACACATCCAGAGGCAAGTCACCATGTTACAATTGAAAGTATACCCAATGCATCAACTGAACATCACAGTTAACACTCTTGTTTTGCATTCAGAAGATTCTGAGTTTAAGTCTCAGCCTGGAAGCTAGTTATCCTGATATAGATTTTCTAAATTCCTCTAAACAAATTCTGGGATATCACCTTAAGTAGACAATGAGACCATTTCTTTTCACAACCTTTCTAATTTCTCATATATAATCATCATCCTGTTTGATATTATATGACCTCTGCAGTTGAGAAAGTATTGTTAAATAAACAGACTTCTTGAAACATCAGTTCTTATTAACATGGAAGCCATACAATATGCTTCTAACTGAAATTATGTGGAAATAGAAAGTTGAGTAAGACTACCTACAGTGTTGAAGACGAGTTGGAGGAAAAAAAATCAGCTAACCACAAATTAAATTATGTATGAAACAAAATTAATGTAAATGTTGACAGATATATATTATTTCCTTCTGCATCTGTGACTTTTTATATAAATTTCTTAGCAAATAGAAATGTAATAAATTGTCTCGCATAGTTTTCAGTACAAAAAAGAAATAAATGGGGATGAATTATATTGATATTCTGAAAATCAGATGACCACTAAAGTAACTCTGTCATACTGCCAAAACACTCATATTTTGTTCCTACCTGCAATAAATATTATACTGTTTATGACCAAAAACCATAATTGTGAACATACAGCTCTTTACAAATGAAAGTTACATAAACTCACATGAAAGTATTACATTTTTAGCAATGCAAGTTATTCTTATGCCATTATTTTACATCACTTATGTTTGTACATGTTCTAACCTGTGTATCTCTGAGTTTATTAAAGTATGGGTGTGGCCAAGATTGTTAACACATTATGAAATTTAACTCTTTCATCATCATGGATGAACTCAACCAGTAAAGTGACTGGCTACAGATTGAAACAGTCAAGGTCTGACTTCACTTCATTATCCCTTTGAGACAAGTTCTGGAGCCACCCAGGTTTCATATCCAATTATACCAGGATCTGTTTCCCTAAGGATAAAGTAACTGGAGCGTTAAACTGAACATGTACCTCTAATTAGTCATGAGGTCTAGAATGGGTGAAGCTTTGTCTTATCTCATACCATTATGATGTGGTGCTTAGACATAAAGGCACCTTCTACTCTTGCTGTCATAATAGAAAGTTAAACTGTGCATTGTTGTGGAATCTGCTTAAATAGAGTGCTTATTTTTTATAGATTTAATAGCAAACAGAAATGTAAAACACTTTCTTAGGTACAAGAAAAATGGGTAAAAATTAAAAATTGGTGAAATATTGTATTGTTACATAGATTCTGAAAATTGGATGAATATTAGTTAACACAAATCCCACCAAATGTTGCAGCTGAATGGTGTACTGCAGAATATTTGTAAAATTCCAAGTCCAGAGCCACACTCTTCTGATTAAGGTTTATTGTGATTTTCGTCAGTCCCCCAATGTCTGTCCAGCAGTCACAGTTATCCTCTGTAACCTGTGCAGTTGGCAAAGTGTTAGATAAACTAGGAAAAATATGGCTGGTAATTTTATCTCCAATAGTGAAAGGGTTAAATGGATAATGGAACATTAAAAAATTTCAGTATTGATGATGTTAATTTTTATTATTTAGTTTTAATAATTGTTGATATTGTTGTGTTGATTCTTTTTTCTTTAGTGCTATTGACTTGGAAATATGTGAATTTAATATTCTTTTATTTTTAATTCTTATTCATGAATTATAGTAGTAATTGCTGATAGATTATCAGCAGTCTCCATCATGTGTTTATTGCTGATTTATTAGTGCTGTTCATTATATTTTGCTGTGTTTGCAGCTGTGACATAAGTGAATTTATAAAGGATGCCTTTTTTATTTTCAAGAGAATTAAGACTACTTGATTTAACTTGGTATGTTCTATAAATATATGGTAATTGTAGCATTTGAACATGAAGATGTACATGTTATGGTCTATATTTCTCTGAATATATTACACTTTCTTTCTTAAAAATTCCTGAAGAAAAATTGACAACATTATATTCAGACATTCAGTACTGTTAAGTATATTACCAGAATTTGGCTGTAGTATGTTCCTTTTTATTAAAATTATTTTTCTTGTACTTCATGATTAATGTTTTAAAATTAATGTTATCCTCTAAGCTAGCAGCACATACATAACAATGAAGATGTTTTCTATCTATAAATTAACTGAAAGCAACAGTTTTAACATTATAATGTATAAACATTCAGAATTAATACTGGTAAATTTCTGTCTCAGTCAGTAATTATGAGCTGTAGAAATCTTGCAGATTCTTTAAATAATGGCATTACCACATATAAACCTTTTATTATAATTTGTAACAGTGGACATGTGGAAAAATGTTGATGAAATATTTCTAAAAAATTTCAATGCATTGCTGATTGATTAGTGTATTTAGACAGTACACATTGTGCAAGTGATGTGTAAAAAAATACCTTGTTATGTTAATTTAAATTTTTAAAATTCAGGTGCAGTTACATTTCACAATGGATTGAACTCTGGAAAATTTTCTTTCTGGAGAGTAGAAAAGAGAATTTGTGACTGTTCTGTAGTTTTGCAACTGTATTTCTCATGCACCTTAAAACATTGTTAACCCTTTCAAGATCATGACACATACCTCCTTCACAGTTTGGTATTTCTTACATATGACACAAATATTTGTTGGTTCCACTTAAAAAATAACCACTCAAAAGGTAAATGTAACAGTTCATTTTAATGTATTTTACCAGAATTTTAAACTACAATTTTGAAGTCTGAACAGTAGCATCACATTTTACCAAAAACCGCAGCAAGAATTGTGTTATCTATTAATTTACTTGTATTGCATAGTGCATAGAAGAGCCATAGGTCATTTGAATTATGACTGACAGATAGTTGTGTCATCAATTCTATTCAAGACAGACACATTTTCATCATGAATTTGATTTATTTAATATGACTAAATGACCAGGGTTTCATTCCCTGCAGAATTCTCTGTTCACCACAACATCCAAACCTGCTCTGGGACCTTCCCTGCCTCCTATCCAGTGGGTACCAGGGTCTCTTCCTTTGGGTTAAAGTATATAAGATGTGAAGCTAACTGCACACCTCCATTTGGTACCAAAGTTAAGAATGTCTGGAGCAATACATCCACCTCCTCCCTGCATATGTGTGTTTGGTGTGATGCTTACTTAAGCACCGGAAACTGCTTTACGTTTATCTGCTACATAAGGAAAGAATTGACCATGAAATGGTTAATTTATAGAACATAAAAATCTTAACATGTTTTATGATTGTTTAAATCATAAGAAATATGAGCAGAGTTGATGCTTTAATCTCATGCATGTTACTGGTATCCTCTTTGGAGGACAGACCATTATATTTTTACATAGGCTTATGTGGGAAATAAATTAACCCCATGTGCCCTAATCTGGAACCTAGCTTATGGATGCAGTGGAAGGCTAAACAAGAACCTGGCAACTGTGATAATTTGGCATATTTCAGGTTTTGTAGATATTAAGAGACAGTTATATAGTTTCATTGTAACAAACATTTTAATGTATCATTGTTAACTAACCATGGTCTAGCTCTTACTATCATCTTCAGGTGATCCTTAATTGCTTAGTGTATTAATATTTGCTTAACACGTTTTCTCTCATACACTCTGTGCCTGTTATCCATATATCTTTTGGTATTAGTTAATTTATGTGTGGATGTGAATATAATAGCTATAAAAACAAAAGTGATGGATGAAGTCCAAAAAATTTAAACTTGTTGAGGTGTGTATATATTTATATATATGGAAACTGAAGTATGTAAAATTAAACTGAATGACATCAGAACACCAGTTAATAAGTAGCTACACAAGTTTGTGACATAAAAGTGACAGTAACAGAAATAACCTTCAGATTAAAGACAGAAAATTTAATTGTGATTGATGCACATGTAAAGCATTAAATAATATCAGTAGCTAAATGATAATTGATTGTAAGAGAGATGCATTAAACTGATCAATGATTAATAGTGAAAATCATTTGAGGAAGACACTAGTTGTTGAAATATGTTGTGATTATTGAACAATGCTTAGGACAAGTATTAGACTAGAATTGCAAAATAGTTGTTACCAAAGCTTATCATAATTAACACTAATTTATATATGAATTGAGATTTAACTACATAGTCATTTAAATATTATTTACATGAATTCAGTGTACCATTTAAATTAGGACTCAAGGGATTTATCAGTAATATCTTTTAAACTATTCCACTGTGCTAAGTATGTATTTTTCAAAGAAGTCATTCCTTCTACTGTTAAACATCTTTATTTCATTCCATTGTGATGTACTGTTGCCGTCATAATTAATGATGGCTATAATAGTTCACTAATATTTTTAAACTGACATATTTTAATATTTTGCTTGAATCATGTGGTCCTTCACTGAGCAACCCTTTCACTCTTATGGACAGAATTATTCCTTCAGTTGTAAGGAACAACTATTTATTTATAGAAATGAACGTGCTATAAATGATATCCATTCTTACTTGTTTTGCATTTTAGAAATACACCAACTCCTTGTTTTATGAATATTCAGATAACACTGTTTTTCACACTGTATGGAGGCTGCACACGATACTGAGTTTGAGAACCTCAACCATGAACATCTTACAATTAGTAAATCATCCCCTGTCAATGTGAAATACCACCACTTAAGTTTTTTGGTCCCAGTTTTTCCTTCATATCCTTGTTTTAATTAGTACTGTTTATCATAATAAATTAGTACATATTATATTATGCCATGTGTTTATGTGACTGTAATATTTCTAATTATTGCCTTTAATATCATAGGAAATTACTTTTTACTAAGAAAATTTTTATTACATGGAATATGTTACTTTTGTATAATGAAGAGTCAGTGTAGACTAGTTTAAATACATACATGTTCAGTAATGAAATGATCATGTTCGGTAAATAGTAACTAACGCAAAGTGTGATTGTGTTAAATTTATGTCACAGCCAAAACAGGTGGCATGATTCAAGAACATCTTGTTACTAAATTGTCCTTTATGGTGAAATCAGTCTAAAATGGAGATTGGATCAAATGAAAAACTGCCTTTATGAGAAAATGCCACCATTCCCTAGAATTATAGGTTTTAAACCAAGGTGGAATTGCCTCTAATAAACAGGAACAGTTTATAATGTTGAATCAAAGAGAAAACTATAATTTAATGTAAAACATCCTCCTGAAAATGTTATTATTTTATGTTCATAATTTTCTTCTGTATTTTGCTTCCTGGAATTTATCTGAGGAACATTCCTATCAAAAGACTGGAAAGGTCTACTCTTTGGAGTACACTGGCATTACAAAGGTGTTCTTCGTGCCACATTGTGTTGGTCGTTGTTGCACTAGTTTTATCTTAAGTAATGTTTTTAATTCTTGTGATCCCAGTTCATTGTTGTCAACTATGGGTTCCAACAATACATGATCTCTGATCCCATTGTTGTGAAAAATAGCAGAGAGGTATGCACAACTGGGCTGATAAGGTGTTTCTTGCTCATACTAGAGCATGAAGGGTGACTAAAAATTGAGCCTGACCATGTATAAACTATCCATACCGAATTTTAATGGACTGCTAAAAGAAAGAATAAGTAAAGAAAGGATGAAAGAAAATGTAATATGTTTAGTGTTAAGTAACATTGTAATGTACATCTGTAGGATGAATGTCTGACATGATTTGGAACATGTTTTAAATAGAAAACTCTCTGAAAAGGAATAGCCCATATGTATTTTAGGCCTCTGTTCTAAGTAGCTTTACTGTAGTAATTAAAGTTCTGTTACTACATCAACATAAAGCTTTTACAATAAGCTGAATGTCAGTACACACTGGTCTTTCTTTCATTTCCATTCACAAGACTTGTCAAATTTATTAACCAGTCAGCTGGACTAATCCCCATTTACCATATTGTTTTAATTTTATATGGGTTTCTTGCTCTTTTAAAACAGTTTTGACAAGTAGTGCAAGAGAGGTTAAATATAAACCCACTCAACTGCTGTTACTACAAATCAAGGTTCAGTAGAATCATACCTGTAGTGCACTCTTCACACATATTGCATCATGCAGTCCCATGTATTCATTTTCATTGTAGCATATAAAATCAGCAAGTTGTGTGGTGAGTTTCAGTCTAATTGATGAACTGTGTGAGATATGGGAGTTTAGAAAGTATGACTTGTCAGATTGACATCCATTCAAATAGGACCAACACATAATGATTGAATTGTGGGTGCACAGGACTGTCAGACAGTGGAGATTCATCTGAAGAGGAAGGCATTGCATGGGAATATGTGTTTGTCCAAAACAGCTGACTCTGGTATAGGCAGTTCTAGCAAGATCAGCAATCAGCAGTGGATATTCCAGCATCTGTTTCATCATGTCACCACAGTAGAAACAGCAGTATGAGATGGCATTAAGGCCATAGAAAAATACGTAGACATCAGAATAGGAACAGTGAATTACAAAATTTATGATCTTGGAGTGAAATGGTATGTAGTCATTGGGCATTACACTGACTCGGTGTAGAACAAAAATTTCAGAGCTTACCTGCAGCATGTAGTGTGATTTAACGCAAGTGGAAATGCTCTCCTGCAGAATATTGTTATTGATAAAACCTGATGTCTTCATGAGCTGGAGTCAAAAGAATCTGCCATGAAATGGAAATACCCTAATTCCCCTGTCATAATAAAAGTTCAAGGCTCAAACACCTGCCATAAAAATGATAGTTGCCATCTTTTTCAGTCATAGCAAACTTAGCTTGCAGAGGTGGACTGGGGTTCCATAATTGTTTGCTGATATGGTGTTGATATTAACACAAAACATCCAGGGAAACTCATCATTCTTTAAGATAGTGCACACTTTCAAGGCTATATTTCATTTAATGTTTTGAGGTGTTATAACATGGTCCATGTGGACCAATTGTGACCATGTGATCTTAGTGCATCTGAAGAGGGCACTAAAGGATGATGATTGTAAAAAAACACAGAATTCAAACTGGTTGTACACCATTGGCTTTACCATCCAGCTCTTGGTGACTCAGTAGTAGGATGCATGCCTCAGTTCATATGGTGACTTTTAGTGGGACAAATAAGTCACCAGCAATAGCCCTTGTTGCAGGTTTCTGTCTTATCTCCTTATACTTGTCTTTGTTTCTACATGTGCACTTTTTCAAAACAATAGTTGATAGATACAGATGAACTGTTTCAGGTCCTCTGTTGAATTCTGGTCCATTTATCTCTGCTTTGATTATGAGTATTCATCTAGCATATAATTCAGCTCTCTACTTTGAAAAATGCATTCAGGAAGCAAGGTGAACTTTCATAGATACGTGGATTAGTCAACAGTACTGTACGAACTGTATAGTTTATATGTATACAGAGTGCCCCAAAAATATGTATATGTTTGTTGATATTTTATATTAGCCTTGTCAGTCAGTTGCTCACTGCTGTTGACTGTACCAGAAGCTACTGGATTTGCTAATTCACGAAGTGCCAATGCTGATATATGTAATGGTTTAGTTTATTAAAATGTCTTTATTTCATTCATTGGATGTGTGTGTGCATAGTTTTGGGATACCTGTATATATAGCCTCAAAGAAGATGATGGAATATGTACACTGAGCTGAGATAGTCTGAAGAAATCAGAGTAAATCACATTGAAGATAGACAGTGCCTTGGTCATTACTTAAATCTAATGCTTCTCAGATATAGGTCTGACATGTTACTGCAGAATCAGCCAACTTAGTATAGATATTGAAGCGTAGCATGTTGATTTTGAACCTTATTTTATGCGTTATATATACAGAATCAACAAGGCTTTTGGTTCAACAAGTGAAAGCTTCGTTCACAGTGAGCCATCAGTTGAAACAAAGCAATTGTTAAATTATATCACCACTAATGACATAAAAACACTTGGATGGTGTTACTTTATCCATACTATATCGCTTTACCACTTTCATTACTACTCAACTCATGTACTTATTCACTCTATAGACATTGGGAATGAAGTGTAAAACAGAATACAGAAGGTTATTAATTGGTTGGAACATCAAAATACTGTAGTTTAAATGGTGCAGGAAAGGGTTAAATACAAGGTGAATGTATGATCATCTTTGGAAAAATAAATAGAATTAGAGCATATGTTGCCCCTAGGTATGTATCAAATAGAAAAATAATGAAGGCATTCGTAGTGTGTCTGTCTTAGAAGTATTTTATGATCACCAAGCAGCCAAAGAGGCTAACTATGTGCCGGTATTTTCATGCCTCATTTGATATGTTGTAACTTCACAATCGGAAATGAACATTACTTTTGTTAGTGCGTAATAACTTACATTCTCACATTTTTGTAGAAGTTTGTGATGCAAGTATTTATTCATTAGATATGTGCTGAAAGTCTATTAAAATATGGACTAAGTGGATGAATGTATTTATACATATGATTTTCATGGCGGTCTGTATTAATTGTAGAGAGTATATTGAAATGGTCAAAACTGCCAACATTTCAGACTTTCAAACTGACTATTAGCTTTATTCCAGACCAGTCACAATATAGTTGAAAAACACAACTGCTGGTTCACTGCGCTTTCAGCTTCTTAATATGTTGGCAAGACCACACACTCCAGATTTGTGTTCAGGGGTTCTGAGTTCAAATTTTTTTTTGATATTCCAACTGAACTGACTTTCTTTTTTAATTTTCCCCAGTCATATGGTTGGATACTACCTAGAAATACACCACAGCTATTAATTATTACCATTTTTTCATTTCATGTTACATAACCTATGCAGTTGAGAAATAAATTAAGAAGTACATAAAGATACAATCTTGCACATTTTCCACTTATGTGTTATTGATCTGAGACAGAAGTTTACCTACAATATAATTTTCTGTACTTATTCATCTGTTGCTTAGGTTTTGGCCTTCTCTGTGGTAGGTATCACTTCTTTCATTTGTAAAACATATTTCCCTATGATGATGTTATTTGTGTGGGTTTGATATATGATCTCTTCATTTGAACGAAAAATATAAATTACAAGTCCCTGAAACAAAAGTGCTCAGGAAAGTGTTTGGACCTAAAAAGTAAGCAGTATGTCAGCAATTTAGGGTATTACATAACATGAAACATTTTGTTACTAACATTGACAAACTTAAATATTTTAAATATAGACTTACAAGTATTATTATGCAAGATGGGTTATTGAAAATTATGCAATTATAATGTGTTCTTGCAAACATGAATTTATGTCATCCCTTAATTTAGGAAGTTCCTATAACTGTTTACTAAATTAGAGTTTGCTGTAATTTTATGTAAAAAGAATATACCTTCCCAGATGTAGGCCTACTGTATGATATAATTTTGTGATACTACTTTTTAGCTGTTGGGTCAAAATTATGTAATGTAACATGCAGAATATTTCCACTACTTTAAATGACTTATTCACTTTTTGGGTTTTATTACATTTTGATAGCCGACTTACCTGAAAATGTAGCCAGGGTGAGGAAAAGTCATGAAACCCATTCCTGATACATGTTCTTTTTGTCAAAAAATAAATTACAGAAAAATCAGAAAACAAAAAACAATGTTATATTAAGTGTTGGAAATGTCTACTGCATCAACTCTTTTCCGCATGTTTGATTCAACCTGGTGAAGACTTCCTCTATCGGAAACTTTTCACCAGATGAGGCATTGTTGAGCTGTTTGGCACAGGAGAATCAGGAAATGTATCCCTAAACACTTTCTGACAAATTAACACGAGATGCCAGGCAGAGTTCAATATCACTCATCGAACTTGTGAAAAAGACATTCTTGCACTTCATCTGTTTGAAGACAGCTGACAGACTGGCAGGAGCATGTTACAACATGACCTGTGTTGGCTCTTAAGAAAAGTGATATTGTGTGTGTATTAATAAAATCTAATTGCATTGAATTGCAGTCACCAGTAAATATTTTAATATGGGTTGCATGACTTTCTGATCACCTCTGTTAAATAATACATTGTCATATAATCTGTAAACATGAATTGAAGCTAGAAATGTACAGTGCAATAGGGACGCTTCCCCCAGTCACATTTTCACCAGTATGTTAGACATATAGAATATATTTTTCCAGCTCGAGGATGTATTGTATTTGTAAACATGGATCATATTCCATACCAGCATTTCTCAAGAAGAATTATACCATGACTGTATTTACAATCAAAAGAAATAATAGTATATGTATAAATAGCCTTAATGCTTAACATCACAGTTAATCATTAGCAGCAGAGATACAATTTTAGCACATTGTGCCTCTTACAAAGACAATTTCAAACTTCAAGAGCATTAGTTCATTCTACTCTAACCATACTACAGACCTGTTAGATTAGTTAACAAATAGGTGCTTGTTAGATGCTTCTGTGTATTTACTCTCATTTCGATTTCTTCTTTATTCTTCCCTTCTGTTATTTTTTTCCCTCCCAAATTCATTTAATTTACTTTTCTTTCTTCATTTCATCTTTCTCTGATACATGAAACAGATTTTAATATGATCAAGCAACTTTTTCAATATATTTTTGTAAGCTTGCTGATTGCCATGAAAAATGGGGAACAGATATCCTGAAACATTTGTTTGATGAATACTAGAAAGGTTTGTGTGTGCGTGTGAATAGTGTACAAAAATATAACACATAGTATTCTATGTATAAGTCATTACAACATATGTTACATTATCTCATATCTAAAATTTAGAATCTGTCTGCTAGTAACTTTAGTGAGCAGAAACTGAAAGAATACTGTGCACATTCTGAGTATGCTGTGATTATTATGTGCACACAGTGCAAGCATTATAAAAACATATTTTGTCACATGTTTCCATTATTTTCTGTAAAATAATGAATATAAAATTAAAAGTCATATGTTCCAACAAATGTTTTATTTTCAAGTATTTCAGATACCCTACTGTAATGACTAAATAAATTTTGAAGATTTCTGTCTTCTGGGTTGTTGCGCTGTGTAGTCTGGTCGATGTTAACCAACGTTTCAGAGGTCATACTGCCTCCGTCATCAGGGC